CACTGTGTGCAATCTGCTGTGGGTGCCAATACAAATACGATTCTATCAACATCCCAAGTGCAGATTGCTAACGCAGTGTGTTTGTCTGCATCGAATCGCATGGTACCGCAGTACCATGCAATTTGGTGCAGTGCATTTTTGAAAAGTAGAGCAAGCACGACTCTTGATGTGATACAGTGTGATTGCAGCTCATGTTCCTGCTTGCATTTTTTTTTTTAAAGTTTACACGCCTTTCCACATGCCGCGTATTTGTCATGCAAAAGAAACTTGTGCATCTTTTTTGAGCGAGCTTTGCAGGATTTTGTCACACGTGGCTTGACATGATTGCCACTCAACAATCGCTGCAAAATCACACTAAGAATGAATGGCACTCAAACATGTTTTATCCATTTTGCAGCAATTCCAGCGCGATTTTCAATTGCGGGAAGAATTATGCTGTTTCTGCCTGCGATTTCGAATCGCAAAATGTGAATGGGAACTAAAACAAAAGACAGTCTGAAGCAGGGGCGGACTGACCATTTGGAAACCCGGGCACTGCCCAAGGGCCCGGGGTCAGTAGGGGGCCCCATGAGATGCCCCTGGTAGCTTTTTCATAGGTTTTTTTTGAGTTTGGGCAAGGACACAGGGGCCCCATGATCCCCAATTGCCCGGGGGCCCCATGAGTTGTCAGTCCGCCCCTGGTCTGAAGCTTGAATGCACATGTAAAACGCTTGCAAATACGCCTGAAGATTGCTTTGCCTTAGGTCTGAATAAATCCTAGACTGCACTAGCAATTTAATGTGTTTTTCATGTGTTCCCGCTTGCGATTTTTTTTTTTTTTTAGTGAGATTGTTTCCACGTGTTGTTCTTAGGGCAGCCCATTCACTTAAACGGGCTGCCCTATGTGCGTTTGTCACGCAGAAGAAAAACTTTTGCAACTTTTTGGGGGATGAGTTTTGCGTGATTTTGTCACATGTATTTTGACACAATCACCATGTGTTTTTGACGCAGGACAATCACAGAACAATCTCCAAAAGTGGCGCCCAAAGACATGTCACGTATTTTACGGCAATTTCAGCACAATTTACAATCGAGGGCAGGATCGCACCAATTCTACCTGCGATTCCAAATCGCTAGGTGTGAATGGGGCCTTAAACAAAAACCGCCTGAAGCTGGAATGCACATGCAAAACGCTTGTAACACGCTTTTAAAACGATCACAAACTGCTGAGATAAAAGCGGCAATCACAGACAATGACAATCGCACCACATTTGGGTTGCCATTAAGAATGACTCTGCGCCAATTCTGCCTGTGATTCCACTTCTCCAGGTGTGAATGGGCCTAAGGCAAAAAATGCTTAAAGCTCAAATAAAAATGCCTGAAGCTTAAACATGTAAAAGCTTGTAACACGCTTCTAAAACGCACGCAAAACTGCTGAAATAAACACATGTCAAGATTACTCTGCTTGGGTCTGAATGAATTCTAGAGTTTATGCATCAGCATTGTAATGTGTTTTTCATGCGTTCTCGCTCGCAATTTTTCTAACTCGATTTACACACATTTCCTATGCGCGTTTTTTGAGCAAAAGAAGCTTGTGCACCTTTTTGGGCAACAAGCTTTGCGAAAATTTGTTACACACGTTTTGATACGCGACAATCACAATCGCAACACATTTTGGTTGCCATTAGGGATGACTCTGTGAGCATGAATGCACATAAAACGCTTGGGAAAACGCTCAAATAAAAACCCTAGGAGCTTGAATGCACATAAAACGCTTGCGAAAACGCTCAGATAAAAACACCTGAAGCTTGAATGCACATGTAAAACGCTTGCGAAAACGCTCAAATAAAAACCCTGGGAGCTCGAATGCACATGTAAAACGCTTGCGAAAACGCTCAAATAAAAACGCCAGGAGCTTGAATGCACATGTAAAACACTTGCGAAAACGCTCAAATAAAAACCCTGGGAGCTCGAATGCACATGTAAAACGCTTGCGAAAACGCTCAAATAAAAACGCTAGGAGCTCGAATGCACATGTAAAACGCTTGCAAAAACGCTCTAATAAAAAACGCTAGGAGCTTGAATGCACATGTAAAACGCTTGCGAAAACGCTCAAATAAAAACGCCAGGAGCTTGAATGCACATGTAAAACGCTTGCGAAAACGCTCAAATAAAAACCCCGGGAGCTCGAATGCACATGTAAAACGCTTGCGAAAACGCTCAAATAAAAACGCCAGGAGCTTGAATGCACATGTAAAACGCTTGCGAAAACGCTCAAATAAAAACGCTAGGAGCTCGAATGCACATGTAAAACGCTTGCAAAAACGCTAGGAGCTCGAATGCACATGTAAAACGCTTGCAAAAACGCTCAAATAAAAACGCTAGGAGCTTGAATGCACATGTAAAACGCTTGCGAAAACGCTCAAATAAAAACGCCAGGAGCTTTAATGCACATGTAAAACGCTTGCGAAAACTCTCGGATAAAAACACCTGAAGCTTGAATGCACATGGAAAACGCTTGCGAAAACGCTCAAATAAAAACCCTAGGAGCTTGAATGCACAAGTAAAACGCTTGCGAAAACGCTCAAATAAAAAAACCGCTAGGAGCTTGAATGCACATGGAAAACGCTTGCGAAAACGCTCATATAAAAACGCCAGGAGCTTGAATGCACATGGAAAACGCTTGCGAAAACTCTCGGATAAAAAACGCTAGGAGCTTGAATGCACATGTAAAAACGCTTGCGAAAACGCTCAGATAAAAACGCTAGGAGCTTGAATGCACAAGTAAACGCTCAAATAAAAATGCTTGCAAAAACGCTCAAATAAAAACGCTAGGAGCTTGAATGCACAAGTAAAACGCTTGCAAAAACGCTCGGATAAAAAAACGCCTGAAGCTTGAATGCACATGTAAAACGCTTACGAAAACTCTCGTGTAAAAACGCCTGAGGATTGCTCTGTAGGTGTGACTGCATCCTAGATTGATACCTGAGCATCGGCATTCTAATGCATTTTCCATGCGCTCCCATTAGTCTATAGGGCCGTAAACCATCTACTGTTACACCAAAAAAATGCACAGGTGTAAACGGGCCCCATAGAAAGTAATGGGAATCTTTTTGTGGTGTGTCGTCCAACGCGCTTAAAATCGTATCTGTATGTTGCATACAGACATGGAGAGAATTTGCTGTGCGTTCTTGTGTACCAGTGCGTCTGGTTAACATGGCATGAACCGGATGGGGGTGGGGAGCTGTGAGAGGAAGGACCGTCCTTGTGGAATTTCAATCAGTTTTATTCTGTGAATAGCAGAGGCTTGTGATCAGAGCGCGGCGCTGTGTGTGTATGTATGTGTGTACGTGTGTGGGTGACCATATGTGTGCGTGTGCATGCGTGGCATTGCTACAAAGAATCCTTTCGCCCCCCCCTTGCTCCTTTATGATTTTATCACCGTCAATTATTTATTTCCCCCGTAAGGAATAACAGGACCGTTAACACCGTTCAAATCGCCGTTCTTCACTTGCAAGTTCTAAGCTGTAGCGGGAGGAGGGGTGTTTGCAGTGGTGGGTGTGGGGGGGGGGGGCGCACACTGCAGGTATTTGTAATGGAAGTTTAGAGGGCAATGCTGCATATACTTCCCTGCTTATCTGCATAAAGCACCTTTCCATACTGTGCGGGAAAAATATCATTCTGATCGCGCGGTAAGCTTTGCTTTAGGATACGCGCGAACTTAGTTTGGCCGCACGGTCATCTGCGAGGCAGCGTTTGATCGCAGCAGTAGGGCTTCGGCGCGGCACGCTGGTTTTGATACATGTTCACAAAGAAGGACCTGTGTGCGTCCGTTCTTCTATCAGACATTTTCAGGGTTCGGTCTACAATAGCGCGGTTGCGCCAGTATGGCGTCACTGTGATTTTTCTGATACCGGAGGCGGCGGTGTGTGTGATTGAATGATTGTCCCAGCAGGGGGGGGGGGGGCACATCACAGGACGTTTGCTGTTTGGGAAGGGGGCGATTGTGCGATGGCCAGGCTATGCTCTAGTAAGAGGTGAGAGCGGGCTCGCTGTTGGGTTGCTAGGGACATGTCAGTACCTTCTATCGAGGATCATGCGCTGAGCAATGCGTGGTGCGAGCGCTGACCTCTCCAGAGTTGGCTGTCATGCTGATTCTCTGATTTCTTTCCTTTCTGAGTCAATGACCCAGAACTGCTATGCACAGCCAAAGGTGAGGCTTTGCTGGATACATGCTTATTGTAAGTTGATGACCTGGAAAGTACCGGAGAGACGGTCAGCGATGGCAGCTTGTGTATCTTTCTGGATCTTGTTCTGTCCTTTCACACAGGCGCGCTCCGTTTAGGTTTACCCACATATTGCATTGTGTTGGGGGAGATTGTACAATCCGATTGTATAGTAGTATGGCTTGACTTACACACATATTAACCACTTGCCCTCCAGAGGATATACCCCCCTTCCTGACCAAGTCATTTTTTTTGCGATACGGCGCTGCGTTACTTTAACTGACAATTGCGTGGTCATGCAATGCTGCACCCAAATGAAATTTGTATTTTTTTTTCCTACAAATAGGGCTTTCTTTTGGTGATATTTGATCACTTCTGGGTTTCTTAATTTTTGCGCTATAAACAAAAAGACCAACAATTTTGAAAAAAAAAAAAAAAAAAAAAAATTTGTTTGACTCTTTGCTATAAAAAATATTTAGTAAAAAATAAAATTTCTTCATAAATTTAGGTCAAAATGTATTCTGCTCCATGTCTTTGCTAAAAAAAAAATCCTAATATGTGTAAATGAATAGGTTTACATGAAGGTTATAGCGTCTACAAATGGCGGGATATATACTGGAATTTTTTTTTTTTTTTTTACTAGTGATGGTGACGATCAGCGACTTATAGCGGGACTGCGGTGGGCATTCTGACACTGGGGGGGGGGGGGGGGGACTGACTAACTGCCACTGACATCCCTGTGACACTAATACAGTGATCAGTGCTAATAGAAAGCACTGACACTGTAATAATGACACTGGGCAGGAAGGGGTTAACATCTGGGGCGATCAAAGGGTTAACTGTGTGCTGTGTGTGTTTTACTGGGTAGACATGCTGCTGTGTATTGCTCTGCTGTGCAAAGCAGCATGTCTGTGCTGACAGGGGAGAGATCTGTCCCTCTCCCCTGTCAGCTCCACCAACGATCATGGAGTCCCGTCCGAGAATCGGTGGCCGGGACCTGGTGTCAACAGCAACACAGGTAGGGATCGTGCTCCCCCCTATTCCGACATACAATGTTACATATATATATACGTGATTTTGCGTGTCATTGCCGCCCTGTAGCAGTACTTCTGCTATAGGGCGGTCGGGAAGCGGTTAATCATTAGATACATTATATCTATATACTTATTCCTATTAGGTCCATATTTTAATCAGGATGTAGTATTCTGATTATTAGATCTTGTTCACACACGGGCGTACTTAGAGTAGTAGGTGGAAGGGTCTGCATCCCTTAAAGTGTTACTAATCCCACAACAGTAAAATAAGTCTGCATATGCAGTAAATCATGCTTGTTATATTCACTGTGGAACCTAAGGGGTTAATCCTCTGCATTGTGTAAAAAGGCTCTTTGATCCTGTCTTCTCTGATCCTCCCCTTCTTCCAGTGTCCCCCTCTTATCTCCTGGTAAGACCTATCATGTGGAGTCACTCTGCACGTGCTCAGTTTGCTGTGTATTGCTAGAGAGGTTTTTTTTTTCTTGGGAGATTGCATGTGAAAGGGCCAATCAGCAGTGTCCAGACATTGGTCAGGGGTCCTGCATCCTCCTAAAGCAAAATAAACATGCCTCCTACAAGCTTTAACCAGCGTTCTGCTGGACACTGATAGAAGTCACAAGACTGCTATAACAGCTGATGAGAAAAGGTATTTAGCAGTTTCTATTTACTAAAATAATTGCATTTCCATGTTGTGCGTACTGTAGGAGACCAGATATAGTGAATGCAGGGTCCGGGGAGACCAGACATAGTGAAGGCAGGGTCCGGGGAGACCAGATATAGTGAATGCAGGGTCCGGGGAGACCAGACCTAGTGAAGGCAGGGTCCGGGGAGACTGGATATAGTGAATGCAGGGTCCAGGGAGCCCGGATATATTGAATGCGGGGTCCGGGGAGCCAGATATAGTGAATGCAGGGTCCGGGGAGACCAGATATAGTGAATGCAGGGTCCGGGGAGAGCAGACATAGTGAATGCAGGGTCAGGGGAGACCAGATATAGTGAATGCAGGGTCCGGGGAGACCGGATATAGCGAATGCAGGGTCCGGGGAGACCAGGATATAGCGAATGCAGGGTCCGGGGAGACCGGATATAGCGAATGCAGGGTCCGGGGAGACCGGATATAGCGAATGCAGGGTCCGGGGAGACCAGATATAGTGAATGCAGGGTCCGGGGAGACCAGATATAGTGAATGCAGGGTCCTGGGTTTAATAACACTGTAAGATGGGTGTTTTTCCTTTGGGAGTATCTCACCAAAATGACATTTTTGGTGCAGGGAATGCTCAAAATCTGAATCATAGTACAGACTTCTGGGAAAATCCGCAAGCCAATCACACAAGCAGGAAATGCCATTTCTATACAGAACACCTCCAGATTGCCATATTACATTGCATTTTGCAGAAAATTACAATTGAAAAGGTAACTTTTAATAACATTCAATTACCCAAATCAAAATGAATTGTGTAACAATTGTACATGCTATATTAATTTTTTGCTATTTTTTTCCCACAAAAATAGAGTTGCCCTTTTTAAAGTGTTTTTAAACTCACAACAGTAAAATCAGTCTGTATATGCAGTAAAGCATGCTTGTTATACTCACTGTGTAACCTAAGGGGTTAATGTTCCTCTGCATTGTGTAGAAAAGCTGTTTGATCCTGTCTTCTCTAAACCTTCTCTTCTACTGTCCCCAACCATCGGCTGATAGTACAGAGCTCTAGGAGTCAGTCTGCACATGCTCAGTTTAGTGTGTATGGCTAGTGAGTTTTTTTTTCCTTCTTTGGGGAGAGTGCATGTGATCAGCACAGGGCCAATCAGCACTGTCCAGACTGAGGGTCAGGGATCATGCAGCCTCATAGGTCAGTCAGAGAACTGAAAACTCCTCCTACATGATTAACCAGTGCTCTGCTGGACACTGATAGAAGTCACAAGACTGCTCTAACTGCTGATTTGAAAAGGTATTTAGCAGTTTATATGTACTACAATAATTGCACTTCCATGTTCTGTGTACTGTGGGATGCAGGGTCCGGGGAGACCAGATGTAGTGAATGCAGGGACCTGGATGACCAGATACAGTGAATGCAGGGACCAGGGAGACCGGATATAGTGAATGCAGGGACCTGGGAGACCAGATACAGTGAATGCAGGGACCAGGGAGACCGGATATAGTGAATGCAGGGTCCTGGGTGTAGTAACACTTTAAGTGTATACCTGCGTGAGGGTCGTGTTTTGCCTGCACAGGATGTGCAGTTGTTCTATGCATCCCAATGCAGGGAGTCCCATTCATGTCAATTGGGATGCAGAAGCTGCATGGATACAGCCGCTTTTCAGAGATGGTTTGCAGATGCCCAGGAGGTGATATGGCCATCTTCTGTTGGCACGCTGTTTCAGCGCATGACGTAACACAAAGCTAAGAAGCTGCTGCAATGTGATCAAACCTGACTGGCTGCCATTTCATTTTGAAGGTGGGCTGTTGGGAATTGGTGGTAAAATTGTGAATCAACTGCCAGTTATTACTGTCCGTTTTGCTGTCCTTACTGGGTTTTTTTTTTTAAGCAGAGCTGAAGTTCTGCTGTAAGAAACAGTGAGTAGACAGGCTTTTACTGCAATAAAATGCCCCTACCTGCTTGCTTGCTGTATTCTTCGGTGCTGTAAACTGAGCTGCGGGATGACGGTCTCTTGTGCATGCTCAGGAGTGGTCATCCTCTGCTGGCTAATGAAGAGGCCCATAGAGTGAGACTCAGAAGAAGATGCTGACACCAGCGAAGGACTGTTGGACAGGTAAAATATTCAATCCTTTAGTTCCACTTTAAGCATCAGTGCTAAGCTTCACAAAACTTTTTTCAAGAGCTTTAAGTTTCCTATTGGTCCCCTTAGAGTAACGCTAACCAACTTCCAATTTAAATTAATTTGTCCCATTGCTTCCTCACCACCTGTCAGCAGCCTCTGAAGTGTGATCTGAACATGGATCATGCTTCAGAGGAAAGGCTGATTTAGACGCACATTTTCAACCAGTATCATGGCTCCACTGCAGGGGTCCTTGCATAGAATTGCCCAGCTTGGACTATGAAGGCTTCAGGATTAATTTGGGGTGAAGGTAGGCTCTATCACACATGTTCAACCACAAAGCAACCTCAACCATAGTTGGTGCAGATCTTTGCAATTTCCTTCAAATTTCTCTTTTTTATCCATACTTATTCACCTAATTAAGTGTCTGGTTTATGCTAGTGTCTTTTTTTTTTTTTATTTTATTTTATTTTTTTTTGCTTGTTTTTTGTCAGGCCACGAGGAAACCCTTAGAAAGCGTAGTTCCTAATAATTGTGCATGTTCCCTCGTTTTTGACACTCACAAGCTGATGCACTCGATGGGCTGTTTAGAATGTGTGAACAGTCTATACGGAGCTGGCAGGATTTTTCCACCATCCCCCAATCCCTATGTGAACGGAATACTTAATGTTCGCCTGAGAGCGGCAAGGTGATAATACGAGTGAGTGACATCTTTATAAAGCCCAGGAGTGGAGTCAGGATCAGAAGACACAAAAGACCGGGAGCCTACTCCAATGTGATTTTATAATAACTAATCCCTTCCTCTGGGATATGACAGGGAACAGAGCCGAGGGATGTTTAGAGGGAATCACAGATGTCTCGTGTGTGCAGACCCAGATCTGTGGAACGTCATTGCAGCAGCAGCCCCCTGAAATGTCAATTGGCCGATGTCTACCAAGCCTGAGATTAAAAAGACAACCAATTGACATTTCAGGGGGCTGCTGCTGGAATAATTACACCCCAGTTCCCAACTCCACCCATGTCCAATTCAGCAAGAGAAGTAGTGGTGGAAGACACAGGGATCATTAATTCTGTTGAGGTCATTTCACCACTGGACCAATAGAAGTAAAAAATTGGTTCTGATGAATCTACTGTAAAGTAAATCCATAACTGAAGTCTAGTATGGTTGGACCCTGTTCTGGTCCTAGGCTGTTACCTCTAGAAGTGCTCGCCAGATAGTAGATCCTTGAATTTGTACAGAGGATCACCTGGTAAAAATGTTTCAATGTAGACTTGGAGTGGTGCTCAAAGCAAGGAACTCTGCTTCTGTGAACTACAATGGTGGAAGACACCGGAACTGTTCATTCTGTTGAGGCCATTTTACCATTGAACTGATTGAAGTAAAAACTGGTTCCGTTGGATCTACCATAAATTCCTTGAATTTGTACAGAGGAGCAGCTGGTACAAAAGTTTCAATGTAGACTTGGAGAGCCATGCAAAGCCAAGGACTCTGCTGCTGTGGTCCACAGGAATGAGAAGGTGAAGGTGTACCAGCGTGCTCTTCCAGAGCAGTATATGCAGTTAGTAAAAAAGAGTGGCCCACCCTGTGACTAAGCCCTTGTGGGTGGGGCAAACACATCAGGATGGTGTGGTTTCTTGGTGGAGTCATGTAGGTTGAGGTCACTCCATGCTTTTGTGTCACGTTGGCTGGGAGAGCAGCATCCTCTTCCACTAACTGGTACAAAAAGGTTTTTTACTTTGGGGGGGGGGGGGGCATGGTCAGCAAACAGGTTCAATCTGATAAAAGTATAAAACATTTTATTCAATGCATCAAAGAATGAGGCTGAATGCTACAAATCTCTCCAAAAAAAGACTAAGAGCACCTGGGAAATACAAAGTCTTCATCAAGCCTTAACACAAGTCCCTTTTGTGATTATATTAACACCAATTGCTCAAGCCCTGATAAAGGGGGAGACTTCCCCCAAAATTCCTTGGTTGTTTCTGATGTTCTTAACCATTAAGTGCTTCAAAGAG